ATCAAATTAATATTTTAACTACGTTATATTACCCCAAAGTCCTATATTTCCCAACCTAACTATTAAAAGGAATCCTAACTGATCCGGTAACCTGTACCCACCCTCTTATCTATAAATACCCCTGCTTTGGAAACCCAAAGACGTCGTGTTGTCCAGTGCCTCTTGCTCGGGTCTGGTCTGCTTCAACTCGCAAACCTTCAGATCTGCACGGAATCGCTTCCTGCAGGTTGCTTCCTCTTACCTTTTCCTTTACTGTTACTCGTTTCTCCGATGTTGTTGGTGTATTCTGTCACTGTAATCTTAGATTGTGTTTTTTTGCTGTTCGAAACTGAGGAAATATGAGTTGTGTCCTCCTGTTTGAGTAAGCTTGGTTGAAATGCTTGCAGATCTGTTTGTTTATTGGCCTTTTGTGCATGAACTTCGTGGTTGATTTTGTAGTTTTTGTTACTTTTGAGTCTGAGATTTTAAGATCTGAGACTTTGAGGTTCTGCTTTCGATTTCATTATATAGTTCTGAGCATTTAGCAAATGTTGTCGGTGGTTGGATTTTTGCATCTCAGCAACTTCTGTTTGTAGATTTGTCTCGTTTTTCTCTTACAAGTTTTGGGTTTTTCCACTTGATCTTGTTCTGTCTAGCAGGATGAAGAACAAATTGGTAAGATCTGTCTTTCAAAGCTGTTTTTCTCGCAAATTGTATGCTTTTATTGAAATTTTAACTGGTTTTTGACGATGGGTAATCTCCATTTGATTGCTTTCCTTATTAGGATTTGAACGAATCTCTAAAGATGAAAATATCTTTGCATTTATCCTATTTATGGACTTTAGATTCCCTGTCTTTATGTCATGGTGGTGCTTGAAGAATCTCTGAGTTGTTCGGACTATGGATACATAAACATCGAAGGAAGTTTTGTTTTTGAAAAGTTGGAATAAGTTATCTGTGATTCTATTCTCTTATTCCCAATTGATATTAGCCGCTATTGGGTTCCTTTGATCTACAACGCTACCAAGATTCCATTTTTATAGGTTGACTGTTGTTATTATACTAATATGTCTGGAATTTTTGTGGTGTGCAGTTTGTGAGAATGGAGACCTTTCTATTTACATCTGAGTCTGTGAATGAGGGACACCCTGACAAGCTCTGTGACCAGATCTCTGATGCTGTTCTTGACGCCTGCCTTGCCCAAGACCCTGATAGCAAGGTTGCCTGTGAAACATGCACCAAGACCAACATGGTCATGGTATTCGGAGAGATTACCACCAAGGCCAACGTAGACTATGAGAAGATTGTACGTGAAACATGCCGCTCCATTGGATTTGTCTCTAATGACGTAGGTCTTGATGCTGACAACTGCAAGGTACTGGTCAACATTGAGCAGCAGAGTCCTGATATTGCCCAGGGTGTCCATGGTCACTTTACCAAGCGCCCTGAAGAGATTGGTGCTGGTGACCAAGGCCACATGTTTGGTTATGCAACTGATGAAACCCCTGAATACATGCCTCTTAGCCATGTCCTTGCCACCAAGCTTGGAGCACGCCTTACTGAGGTTAGGAAGAATGGCACCTGCCCATGGCTAAGGCCTGATGGCAAGACCCAGGTTACTGTTGAGTACTACAATGACAGCGGTGCCATGGTGCCAGTCCGTGTCCACACTGTTCTGATCTCCACCCAGCACGATGAGACTGTCACCAACGATGAGATTGCTGCTGACCTCAAAGAGCATGTCATCAAGCCTGTCATACCGGAGAAGTACCTTGATGAGAAAACCATCTTCCACCTTAACCCATCTGGTCGCTTCGTCATTGGTGGTCCACACGGCGATGCTGGCCTCACTGGACGTAAGATCATTATCGACACTTATGGTGGTTGGGGAGCCCATGGTGGTGGTGCTTTCTCTGGAAAGGACCCTACAAAGGTGGACAGAAGTGGTGCTTACATTGTCAGGCAGGCTGCCAAGAGCATTGTAGCCAATGGACTTGCTCGTCGATGCATTGTTCAGGTCTCCTATGCCATTGGTGTCCCTGAGCCCTTGTCTGTCTTTGTAGACTCCTATGGAACTGGAAAGATTCCAGACAAGGAGATCCTCAAGATTGTTAAGGAGAACTTTGACTTCAGACCTGGAATGATTACCATCAACCTAGATCTCAAGAGGGGTGGCAATGGCAGGTTCTTGAAGACAGCTGCCTATGGACACTTTGGAAGGGACGACCCGGACTTCACCTGGGAGGTTGTGAAGCCCCTCAAGTGGGAGAAGCCCCAATCTTAAAACCGTTGCCTGTCCCATCCCTGCTGTTCGATGCCTCCTTATCTATGTCTATCGATAATCTAGAACCCTGTTTTCAGCCCTTATGTCCCAATCTCATACGCATGACGCCCTATTCGTATTCTTTACCTTCTCTCTCTTCTTCTTTTTTTTCTTTTTTTTCTTTTTTTTCTTTTTCCTTTTTCGCTCTTTCTTTCTTTCAGTTTGATTTATGTTCTGTACCAGTCTCAGTATTGGAAAATTGTTTGGGAATTTTGCATAAATTGATGGCATTACTATATTTTGATTTCATGGAAAATTTTCAGCAATGCAATTGGTATTTTATTGGGGTCTCTTTTACCCAAAAATCAAATCTTTGTTTCAACTAGTTCCCTCTTTCTCCATAATTTTTACAAGTTGAATTGTGATTAACTGTTTTTGACATTTCTATATCGTCTATAAACTTTCATTTATCATCATTTGATTCCTAAACATTGTGCCCTGGAAAATAAACATCTAACTCAAGGACCCTGAATTTTAATTGAGCTACATGTCACAGGGTCAGACTAGCTCCGATGGCCCTTGCCTCGGGGGCGGAATCTAGCTCGACCTCGTGCGGCACTTAGTTCGGAATTAACCCCGTTAAACCCGAACCAAGTCAGCCTTCCCAACACTGGCGTGGCCCCTTAACTAGGCTTGAGGTTAGCAATAGAAACAAGAAGGTAGGAAGTTGGGAGAAGAAGAGAATTTATTAAATCGCAAGGGAGTGTACAAGAGCTTGAGTACAAAGCCCCTCTCTGCACTC